CCGTCTCACCTACTGGCATTAAGACCCAATTAAAGGGCTGCTGGTTGGGGATGGGAAGCGGTTAGGATTTAAAGATAAATGTACTTTTTCCAAAGTGATACTATCATCATTACCATTATTCATAATTGGGTTTTTGTCTCACCTTGTAAGGACGCTTCAGGTTGGGCTCCCTGAAGCGAAGAACAATCAGGCTAGTACAAGTTAGTCCAACCAGGAGCCACAAACAAAAGCTGAAGTAATTAGTTAATGAGATGAGGTCGGAAGGTATGACAAATATGCATCCCATTAGTGTGGAGACAATCATCGCTGGAGCTGGAGTCAAGTAACGGACATGGAGCATGGAGATGAGTGACGGCAAATGTCCTTCTTTGCTGCCAGCATAATTTAATCTCCCCAGCGTAAACATGCCACCGTTGAGAGAGCTGAATACGGAGAAGGCCACTGAGACAGGTATAATCCAGGACCACGATGGGATCATTTTATCAGCCCAGGTGATCGAGACAGCAACTGCAATGACAGAATGGTATAACAGAATCAGTTTAACCTTGTTCAGAAAGTCAGTGTAAAACTGTTAAGTGGTCCCAGAAATGAAAAAGCAAGTAATCCAAAATATTTTATATAGAGTACTGTGTACCCTAATACATATCTAGGAAACTTTTAACTAAGGAGAAAGAATAGTGTATTTTTAGTAAGTGCATATATTGTATAATTATTAAATTGTGTAAAGCTGAAATTTAGTCTGGTCATATTTTGCCTTTGTTGGTTCTCCCTTTCCCCCTTTGCTCATCAGCATGTTAATAAAAACCTTTATATTTTCATTAGACCCGCTATTGTAGATCTGCTGGCATCATCATTGGGTCTCTATGCTTCACTATGCCCTGGCTGATGGAAGGGGCCATCAGGGTGCTGTAGATAGCTTCCTAAAAATATTACAGTGCTCTGCCTCCCTCAGCTCTCCTCTTGAGAGCCCTCAGTCCTGAGACGTGCAAACCTCAAAATGTCTTAATGGTTGGGTGTCAGTCTAGAGGAGTGGTCTTTCCTAGAGGGATTGCATTTGCACGCAGATTTCCCTAAATAATGTCCACATGGGATACAGAGTCTCAATATTTGGAAAAACTAAAAGTGGCAGGCCAGGGACAGTAAGGCAGGAAGAAAAAGGCCAGACAATGTTGGACATCTTTCAGTCAGGAAAAGAAATGTGTTCTATCTGACTTGTTGCAGCTTCTAAGCAAATGATAATTGGTGTTCAAACATGTTTGTGTCCAACAATCTTATATCCAAAAATGTATAAAGACTTCAAAAAGCAATGTTCAAACATATCCATAAATCCATGCATAGTGTTCAAAAAAACCCAAATCATAAATCCTTTGATAGCTTCCATAAGTGCTGAAACAAACTTGAATATTTGTGTTTCCATGAGTCCAACAACCACTCATATGAGCATGCTCTCCCCTAAAGAAATGCCCTTTCAGCAACAAGGTCTTGTAGACATATCTCTTTTAGAACCAGAATAAAGGCTGTCACTGCTCCAGTAGTGGTAAAGATGTTGAACCACATAGGCAAACTCAAGAAAACACAAAAGGAACAATATTGTTCTCACCATATAATTGGTATTTATTTAACAGAGTAAAATGCATTCACGTTTAAAATTAAAGCACTCTTGCTTTAAGGATCTTACTATGAGATGTAACACTAAGGGAGCTGCACATTGAGCCATGCTGTGTGTCTGTCAGCGCTACACAGGCATCAGAGCCAGTCTGTCCCAGGGCAGTTCCTTCTCAGTCCCTTCTCATTTTGGAACAAGAAGCAACTGCCCTGGGAGAGAGTAGACCAACTTTGATGCCTTTGTAGTGCTGACAGAAACACAGCCCACACATTTTTGCCTGTCGAACAGCCTATTCATTTTATTGGGCTGCCCTTTGTGTGAGAGACACAGAAAAGAAGACCCTGAGGCTTGGTCCACACCTATTAGTGCAACCAAGCACAGATGCACTGTCGTATATGGGGCAGCATCACTGTGCTACCGGAGAATCACTGTATTAGTCGCCAATATTACAGTGATCAACAGTGTCTTCTGGGTCCAGTGCCAAGCGGCTGCCCTGCTGCATAGTAACCACAGAAAGTCACTTTCTTGGCATGAGCATTCACAGAGAGCCTTGCATTTTTTTCAATTAACTCAAAGCATTCTCTTGTAGGCAGTTTTAGTTTGGCCTCTCTACATAGGTGGCACTGTTTGGTGGCCATGCAGAGAGAGCGGAGCATAAGGGGATCCCATATTCCTCTGAGGCATCCATAGGTGTCATCAGGAGAGCCAAAAGGGAATATAGAGGCACCTCTAAATTAAGACTGTTTATAGTATTTATTTATTGTTTGGGTCAGGTGAGGAGAAGAAAGATCCCAACGCTGGCCATGTCCTTAGCTGTGCTGTAAGCTGCTCACCTCACTCTCAAGTGCCAGCTGGAGTATGGAGGAGGATCAGGAAAGAGGAACTCGGTGTAACGCACATGAACTGACGTCAAGCAAGACGTCTGAATACGTCATCATGCCTTACGCTGCTTTCCACATGCGTTCCAGCCCTTTTCAAGTGCCTCATTGCTGGTCTGCTCTCACTTTTCAGATGCTGTCAGGTATCAACAGTGTGGTTGAATATCCTCTGTCCAGTTCCCTGTAAGTGCTGTCAGGCCAGTGTGGCCATGTATGTAGATGCTGTACCTCTATCTCAGTATCCTCAATAATACATTAATATACTTTTCTGTATCAGCTGGCTTCTGTGTGAGTTCTCTTCCTCTTAGGGTATCGAACATTGCACCCCGCCGACACTCTGACTTGATGAGGTAAAGTTTATGACATCACCACGCTGCCTTTCCACCTCGTCCATAATCAGAAAACTTCTTGCATCCATAGAGAAAAATGCAAGACGTTCTGATAATAGTGTCCGTCTTGAGTGAGCAATTCCTTCTCTTTACTATGCAGCAGAGCAGCCACCTAGCACAGGAACCAGAAGACAGTGGCAATCTTTGTGGTAGTGGGGATTACTGCAGTGATCCTAGGCTTCCACAGTGGTCCTGTGCCACAGGTATAGCATGTGCATACTTACATTGATGGACCAATGTAACTATGCAATAAAATCCATACCTGGAGTTCAGCTTTAAACTATATGTTTTAGAAGGAGTTTTACATTAAAGAAACATTAATATGACTAAATTCTCTGCTTATTTCTGAAAAGTTTACTAACTCTGTTTTTATTATTAAATAGAAATTGATGTACCTGAGGATATAAGCTCATCAGGTGTCAGGACGGTGAGGTATGAAATGTTGACCAGCAAGTAGAAGGCAATCACGGTACACAAGGCTGCTACTACACTGCGAGGAATATTCTTGCTTGGGTTTTTTATCTCCTCTGGAAAACAGAAACCAAAGTAATCAATTAAACATAGTGCAGCCCTTGTCATAGCAAAATGCTGAAAATATGATTCATGGCAAAGATAGAAGAAACCATCTGAATGTTCAGGCTTTTTATCATATGTTCTTGCTGTTGTAGATGGAAATCTTCAAAAGAACATTGGATAACAACACAACTTTTGAATCCGTAGAGGGCTGGTTCACCTTTAACCTCTTCCCACCAGCCATACACATATATGCAGCCTCTTGGTGGGTGGGCCTTAACACTGAGAGGCCGCATAAATGTGTATCTGAGAGCACAGTTACTGGTGGCTCCTGATCTCGACTTGTGATTGAGAGCTTTCTGATCATGTGATCGCTGTGACAGCCAATCATGAAGGTCACATGACCGAAATGCCCGCCTCCGCCTTCTGGCATTTAGAATGTCTTACAGAGCCAGAGGGTGCCAGCAGGAAGGGGTTAAACAACTTCTTATGTTCCTGTAAAGGGAGACCATATTATGAAAAAGCACTGTGCAGAATAACAAAAATTAGTTCCTTTCATTAAATTTAGTCCCTGCAAAGCTGCTACTTCCGGTTTCAAGTATTTTAGATGTCACACTTACATTATTACTATCCGTACCTCTTTCATTTGAGACTAATAAGCTCCTCCTCTTAGTGGCTTCCTGGTTCCCATGATGCATTGTGCCACTTTTTTCCCTCTCCCTGCATGTGCTCTGCACCTCTCTGTCCTACTTCCCTCAGCACTAGAGTTGCAGGAGCGGCTGTGTGTATGCCTGTGCCCACTCTTCTTTCTTCTCCCATCCCCCTGCTGTGCTACAGAGTGGCTGTGTATGCTCTCTGGCCGATCCCCCTACCCCCCGCTGGAGGTTGTCTGTAGTGGTAGTGCCTGTGAGGGTTAGGGAGCTGGATGAGGCAGCAGCGTAGGAGGCCATGGGATCTATAGTCCTGGAAGAGTGCTGCACAGGGCAGGTGGATGTGGCTGCAAACTTCAATACCCACGAATCCCTGCAGACAGGGAGAGTAGACAGTTTTGTGGGCTTTCAGGGAGAGGGACAGTGTCTTGCAGTGTGGGGAACTGGAGAGTACAGATGTGTGGCTGTGTATGCCTACACCAAGAAAGAGACCTGTGAGAGTCACTGAGGATTAGAGGGCTGGAGCTGAGTCTGTGAAGACCAGATTCCTGAGGACAGAGCCAAATGGACTACCAAACAGACAAGCGCCCAGACCAAGATCCGCTGAACTGCCAGGACTGGTGAGCCACTGCTGAGTGTCTGCGAATTACTGCTGCTAACAGATCAGGAAGAGGACTAGCAGGGGTGGACTGACAACTCATGGGGCCCCTGGGCAATAAGGGATCATGGGGCCCCTGTGTCCTTGCCCAAACTCAAAAAAACCTATGATAAAGGTACCAGGGGCATGTCATGGGGCCCCCTACTGACCCCGGGCCCTCGGGCAGTGCCATGGTTTCCAAATAGTCAGTCCACCCCTGAGGACTAGTCTCTACCAGGAACTAATTATTGAACGCAGGGTTGGTAATTAAGTGTACCACCGTACAGACAAGGCCCAAAGGTTAGCTTAAAGTGTTATTAAACCCAGGACCCTGCATTCACTATATCTGGTCTTCCACAGTACACAGAACATGGAAGTGTAATTATTTTAGTAAATATAAACTGCTAAATACCTTTCCTCATCAGCAGTATATAGCAGTCTTGTGACCTCTATCAGTCTCCAGCAGAGCACTGGTTACAGCTTGCAGGAAGAGTTTTTATTCTCCCCTGATTGTCCTATGAGGCTGCATTACCCCTGACCGGACAGCGCTGATTAGCCCTGTGCTTATCACATTCACTCTCTCAAAGAAAAAAAAAACCCTCTAGCAATACACACCACACTGAGCATGTGCAGCTTGCCCCCAAGGCTCTGTTCTATCAGCAGATGGATTGGGGACAGTAGAAGGGGAGGAATAGAGAAGACAGGATCAAAAAGCCTTTCTACATAATGTGGAGGATTAGCTCCTTAGGCTCCACAGTGAGTATAACAAGCATGCTTTACTGAATATACAGACTGATTTTACTGTTGTGGGTTCAGTAGTACTTTAAGTTTGAAAATTAGGTGCCAAGTACTATAAAACCACTTCTCAGAGGTGCCTCACTCAGGAAAATATATCTAAGGACAGAGGTACAGTATATACACAGAGTGCATTCTGGGACACTTTTTGATCAATTGTTGCAGAGAATTACAATGAAACTTTTCATTGCCGTTTATACTTTTTACTTTTTAATGATGTTCTTTTCAATGCTGTATATATCAGATTGACTATATTTAGTATTATTGTGGTCTAGGTTTACTGCCATATCATTACTTAGGATTTATGTCAGTTATTTTACAGAAATTTAGCAGATTCTTTCATTAATACAGGTGTTTGCAGCATTTTATGATAAAACCAGGTGTTTCAGAGGGGATAAAGAGATTCAGCAAGTCATGGCAGAACAGAGAACCAGTCATACCAAGCGGTTCTTGGGAAAGTAAGCGCAACATAGACAAATCAGCTTTGGAAATCATGGACCAAATATGCTGATCCCTAATCCTAACCAGAAAAGCAGTCAAGGTTTGAAGAACAGGTCACCAAAATGCTTACAAAGACAAAAGCCAGCCATACAAGGCTGCAAATCAGGTGAAATGTGAGCAACTGGTGGCTCTGCTAGCTGCAGTCACCATTCTGGTATTCAGGTAGCTGTGGGTGCAGTGACTGTATTAATATAATAGCTGGCAGTACAGATTCTTCCATCAAGATTGGGGGAATTTTTATAACCACTTGCCTGCTGCGCACTTTTACCCCCTTCCTGCTCAGGCCAATTTTCTGCTTTCACTTTGAATGACAATTGTGCGATATGAAACCCTGTACCTAAATGAGATTTTTATCTTTTTTTTTCCCTCACAAATAGAGATTTCTTTTGGTGGTATTTAATCACCCCTGGGGTTTTATTTTTTGCTAAACAAACCAAAAAAGACAGACATTTTGAAAAAAAAAGTTTTTCTTAGTTTATATTAGAAAATTTTGAAGATAGGTAATTTTTCTCCTTCACTAATGTGCACTGAAGAGGCTCCACTGATAGGCAGCACTGATAGACACTAATAGGCTGCACTGATTAGGCGACACTGACAGGCATGGAGGAGGAGGCACTGATGAGGCTGCACTGATATGCGGCACTGATGGGCATTGATAGGCGGTAATTATGGGAACTGATAGGTGGCACTGATGGGCACTAACAGGCAGCACTGAAGGGCACTAATAGGCAGCATTAAGGGGCACTGATAGTTGGCGCTGATAGGCAGCACTGATAGGTGGCACTGACTGGCAGCACTGATGGGCACAGATTGGTAGCACTGCTGGCCTCTGATTGGCAGGACTGCTGGACACTGATTGACAATGATAGACAGCACTGATGGGCACTTTTGCGGGTTGCACTGATAATCAGTGCCCTGATTGTCAGTGTAGATGATTTCTAGTATCTCTGTATTTGGCTTTACATCATCTTTTATACTGAATAAAAAATAGTGATGTATTTTTTTTTTTTTTTTTAGTATTACACTTCAAAAATGTGTATTTTATTCCAAAAAATGTGTTTGCAAACCACTCCGCAAATACTAAGTGCCATAAAAAATTGCAAAATGCACCAATTTATTCTCTAGTGCCTCTGCTGTTTGGGGATTCTAACTAATTTTTTAGCAAAAAATACTGATTGTTACATGTAAACAAAAAGTGCCAGAAATGGCCTGGAGCAAGTGGGTAAAACCCCTGCAAAATTCCAATTACCCTAACACTAAATCAATCTTAAAATGACCTTTCTCTTAACTCCTAGCTCTGCACATTCATATCCTGTTCTGGGCAGAGAGCATTAGGAGCCCAGAGAACCTTTCCCAGCATAACTGAAAAAAAGAAAGTAATTTCTGATGAAGTCTGATGAAGTCATGTGGGCGTGATGTAAATCATAAGGGGCTTAGCTCTGGGCACACATGAATAGTGAGTTCAGCTGACAAGTGAAGCCTGCATCTGATGATTTTTAGGCATATTATTCATTTTCTACATGTGAGTGTATTGCTGCTTCCTAATACATTTTTATATTAGTACATACTGCATCATGGGAGTGTCCTTCGTTCCATTTTAAGGATAGGAATGTGTGACCTCCATCACCCTTAAAGGGACCGATCCCTGGCTCTGGTTTGACAATCTAATGAAATCTCATAGGTGTTTGTTTACTATCACTTGGCAGTGGATTGAAAAAGTGAAAACTCCTTTTGTTCATTTGATATCATAAAGCACATTTCCATGTGCTCTGAAGTGAGAGTTCTGTGAGCACTGAGGTGGCACTATATGTTATGCGCACTATTTTATTTGATGGTGTTTGGGATATCTGCAGAAGAAGAAAGCACATGAACTATGGAACAATCTTTATTACAAATTGATTGGTTTTATATATATGGACTCATTATGGACGTTTTATTCAGCTATGTCACACTTTTATTTTTTGTAGCTATTATTTAGCAGCGCTACATCATTATTTATTTTTAATTTGCTTTACTATTGTGAGAACACAATTTGATGTTAGCAGCAGCCACTATCATCACACTGTTTTTATTTTTCTTTCTGCTTGTGTGCGTTACTTTTTCTTCTTCTCTTCCTCTCTCTCATTATTGAGGTAGCGCAGGGGTTTCACTCCTAATTTCTAATGATTCAACAACCCCGAACACTAATTGTTGGATCCAGCTGGTCCCAACCCACCTCTACCATTCCTATAAAACAAATTACTTAGAAATATTCATAAAAGAAATTATAGATACACTACATACCTGCCACGTAGTTTAGGTAGTTCCATCCTCCATAGGCATACAGGCCTTGATAAAAGGCCTCCACTGTTTGTGCCGCATTTGGAACTTGTCCAATAAAAGCATCTTGAAAGGGCTTTGAAGCTTCTGGATTAGTGGCAAACTCGATGAAGCCATAGACAGCAACAAGTGCCAAGGCCATCATTTTGAGGATTGTGAACATATTTTGAACCCATGTGGCCAACTTGATACTCTTAGAATTTATGAATCCCAAAGCCAGTAGAATTCCAATAGCTAAAGATTTCTTGAGATGATCAGGTGGGGGACATCCTCCATAAAATGGTTGACTGACATACTCAGCAAAAGTCAGGGCTCTGGCAGCATTGGATGATGGCTTTATAAAGAATATTAATGTCCAGATGGTTACAAAAGCTGGTATAGGTCCCAGTCCTCGCTTGATATGATAATATTCTCCACCAGAGAATGGCAAAGATGAACCCAGCTCTGCATAACAAAGTGCACACAATATACAGAACACACCACAAGCTGCCCATATGCATAGCGACACACCAATGTTGAGCTGTGAATATTCCAGAACACCTTTAGGAGAGACAAATATTCCAGAACCTATAATGCTGCCCACCAGAAAGCTCACATTATCAAAGAAGCCCAAACGTCTTTTCAAGCAAACTTTTCCATCTGTTTCATTGGTATCTGGATCTTGTGATAATGACTGTGACTTCAGCATCTTGCTATTAGTCTTGCTGTGGTGTCAGATCAATGGCTGTTTAAAGGAGCAAGTCTGCTTGTTCATTAAAAAGACTTCACAAAATATATCACTCATTAAGTGGTTGTAAAGCTAGAAGGGTTTTCTTTACCTTAATGCATACTATGCATTAATGTAAAGAATGTCATGTTCACTATTGACATACTGCAAATTTGAACCTTTGACTTTCTTAGGCCAATGTTCACAAGAGACTATCCAGAGCTCAAACATCCCGAAAAATACCAATCCTTTCCACTCCAGCTTTGGTAGAAGGTGACTCTGGCCCACTTCCTGACACACCTTGGTTGTAAGTTGCCCTGGCTAAAATGTTTGTTAGATAAATCTTTTTCCATGTTGTGTTATTCCATTTGTTATGAACACTTTATTCTTCTGCCAGGCCCAGTCCTTTCTTTGTGAACCAAAGACTTTTGGTAGGGGAAGTGTGTAGCTTGGTCAGCAGAACTGGCAGGGGAGGAAAAACATCATGGACCTCACTGTCAGTTTCCTGTGTACAATGCTACTCTTGTTCACATTGGAGGGGGGAGGGGCATTTTTGTGTCTTATCTGTGAGATAGCTTACAGGCATGGCTGCTGTCACTGAACATATAGCAGCCAATCTTAAGTCATCCATCCACTAGGGGGCGAACTGGATGTGAATTGCCTGAGACTCTGGAGAGAAGTGTGGAGGACTGTGGGAGGTGTAGTTTCTACAGTATGAACTAGCTTCAGTGTGGATTTACACATGTGTGGTGCAGATTGAAGCTCAGGATTCACATCTAATTGACACAGTAGGTGTTCAGCGGTTCAGGTCAGGTTTACATGAGGTTTAGGACAGGTTTAGATCAGGTTCAGGTCAGGATTTTATCCTGTTCACAAATGATGACATGTGCGGCTTAGACATGGTTTCCATAGAATTCAAAAGCCTGTAAACCACACCTGAACCGGACCGCACTGCTCAGAAATCATACAGGACTCTTTTTCAATCCGCACTGAATTCACACTGCCAGTGCACCGACATATGTGAACAGGCACCATAGGAAGAAATGTTATTTCACATGTCATGCTGATTGGATGTGGCTCAAACTGCATCCAATCCACATATATGTGAACCAGCACTCAGACTCTAGAGAAAAGAGACTTTAACTTCAAGTGGCACTGTGGTGGAGGGGAGGAGGAGGGTTATAATA